TCAGTTAATTGATAAGTGTTAAAAAAAGCAAGTGCATGGAGCTCAAACATTTATAGAATTTGTACTCTCCATTTCTGTAGCTTGTTCCTTGCAAAAATATTTATAATTTAACATATCCAAACAGAAGTTATCACCTTCTACCACAATGTTCTTCCTCACTCTTGTTCTGGTCTTTCAAAATTGTTCGTCTACAATCAAAATTGCATATAATTTCCTTAATCTTCCCTCGTAAGTCAAAATTAAATTCTGCTATTAATATTCTTGAGTCCAGGTAAGGTTTTTTCGATGGATAATCTAATCGACAACACACTTTTACAATGATTTTTTACTTAAGAAACAAAATAAGAAGAAAAAATATATAGAAATATAAAATAATATGTGATGTAATTGAAAGAGATAAAAAAAATATAAAAATAATATTATTCCTTTTTAATAATAGTAGTTATTATATTATTTAAAAACATAAAAATAATAACATTTGTATGTAATAATATTATTACTTGCTCAGAGCCCAAATTGTTCTATAATTTGTACCGGGCGTATACAGAGTTATTGCTGCAGGACATGCCTTTCAGCCACAACCTTAAGTAGTACCGAGCCACGAGAATAAAAAAAAAAGAAAGAACTAATTAGGTAAGAATATGCATGTGACTAATGTGCTAAAGTAAATAACATATATAGATTACTGCTTGACACAATTATATGTAACCTTGCAACTTTTTGTCATCATTATATTTATATGAATATACGAATAAAAGTTTTTCTTAAGGAATCTCTATTAAATTTTTGGGCCAATTGCTTGTAACTTCCAAAGATTGTGGCACTTCCTCAGGTCTTGCATGCCGCTGTGCTTTAATGGATTAATGGTTGTCTTATTGAATGTTTTGCTTAACTTTTTTTTTTTCTCATTTAGAATTATACTACTATTCTTATAGTGTTATATTGAGGATTCGTTGTGGATGTTGTGTTAGGTTATTGTTGGCTTATGAATTCTGTCAACTGTGGGGAACTGGTGCAATTTCTTGACCCTGTTCTACATAAGTAAGAGTAATCAGTACTCCTTTTAATTACATAATTTTTATATAAAAATGTTCTTACGTAATTTTATTCATTTACTTATTCATTCCATGTACAGCTTTTATTTTGTTGCACACGGTTCCTGTGTTTTATGAGAAGTACGAGGATAAGATAGACCTACCTGCAGAGAAGGCTGTCATTGAGATTAAAAAGCAGTATGCTGTTCTTGACGCTAAGGTCTTGAGTAAGATTCCAATTGGTGCATTGAAGGCCAAGAAGTTGGCTTAGTCAATTAATCTTGTAACCTCAGAAATAAAAGAGCTTTACCTGTTTGATCATGGAAGTTACCAGGCCTAGACTCTTTTATTAATTTCAATCATTATCAATAGTCAATTTATTTCTTCTTTGTTGAAAACTTATACTTATCTAGTTTGCAATTATTTTTTATTACTATAAATTAATTTATTGTTTTAATTTTTTTATATATTATGTTTAGCTAAATCCATAGTTTAGATATTATAATAGATTCTTTACATGACTCTATAAAACTTTTATGATTTATGATAATTTTATATTTTAATTTTTGAATAGTGTTATTCTATTACGCTATATTTATATGTCAGAATTGATAATTCTTGAACATATCATAACTAATTATATTATAGACAATCATATTATATATAATTAATGAATTTATAGAGTAAAACAAAACAAATGATTAGGTAGATTAAGCTTAATTTTTTTATCATGATTATTAAATTAACAACTCATAAGTTTTTTTATATTTTTTTTCTTTTACTTTACATGATTATTGATGGTAATAATTTGAAGAAAAAATTGTTAACATTACATGATATTTGCGTGTTAATAGATTTAGTATGAATGGTTAACAATCATAAGAAAACTAAAATTAAAATTAATCTAAAAAAAATAAAAAAAGTATAAAAGTGAAACCACACGCCTTAAGTTATTTTTGATTAATTTATTATTAGATATTGTGCTATTTTAATTTTTTAATTAGTTTTATATTTAAATTTTTGTTTTGTTTAATTTTGTATTCTTTAAATTCAAACAATTAAATTAAAAATTCTAAAAAAATAGAAACAATATCTATGAAACGAAATTTTATAAACTTATTTTAAAACTCTTTATTATTTTTTAAAATGTATACTTATCCATGAACGGATGGAAAGAAACATTAATGAAAATGTCACATGTAGGATTGAAGTTGGGTGAATGAATTTTTGGCAAACAAAAGAGACTAAGTTTTGGCATCACAAGTTTTCCTTTTGCCAGTCAACAACTGAATAAGAAACACAGCTCCAACATAAGAAACAACAGAAGAAAATGAACGTATTATAGGTGCATATATGTAGGAAAGTAATAACCAGGCAGCTATACCCTCTTTTTCTTTTAATAGAGCTGCGTAATTAACTGATAGTGCTTTAATTTCTGCCTCGGATGCTTGAAGTCGCTTGATTTTTGCTTTATATTGTTCAATCTATAAGAATAACAACAACAACCAAGTCTGATCTTCCTAATGAGCTCAATCTACAAGAAATGTAATAAAATTTGAAAAAAAAAAAAATGATATCTTTAACCATAATAACTAATCTACCAAGTACTATATTCAACTAGACAATTCAAGGAGAAAATATATGGTATAAACATTGAATACAACACATTTTCATGCATTTGTTAAAAGAAAATATTCATGCATTTGGTAAAAAAATTCCAAATTTTTACCAGCATGTGCTATTTTATAATAAGAAAAAAAATTATTAAGATAAAAAGGCATATACAAAAAGAGGAAAACAAATCCTCGATAACTGAAGAAGACATAACAGAAAAAAAACGGGTCAAGAAACATGCAACAACACAACATGCCAATCTATCTAAGGATCTAACTAACAAGGATCCCCTCTCTAAAAAGATCATGAACAAAACACCAGAAAGAAGCTAGAAAAACTGTTAGGACTCAAAGATAAGAATGAAAGAATGAGACTGAATCTTTATTGCTCTATCAAGAAAGAATTATAATTTACAAGCAATTGCAGAGATCACAGCTCCTTCCAGAGATTGAATCTCCAACCCAAAGAATACAATTCATTTCCTCCCCCTTTTTCTGTTATTCAGTCTCCTTTTATACTTTCTGACTAACAAAGACCTAGACTAACTTTCTAACTACTTGTTAGTTGTTAGCCTGACCTTTTACAGTTGGTCCCTTCTTCCTTAGAATACATATACCATATTTTGGGCTTAACTGGGCCTCTATCCAGCAAATGTTCTCTTGGACTTTCTTCTACACTTTCTGGTCTAACAAAAACTACTCAAAGCCAAATGAACTCAATAAAAGATTGCCGTCTGAGAAGACTCTTAACATTACTTATACACCAAGAACTGCAGACAGAGAACACTGCTAAAAGCTTTTTGGCAACTTTGCCAACATCAAATCCTCTGGAAATTAACACATGGAAACTTCCAAAGGTCCATTAGACAAGCTCAATGTTCACCAAAAACACTGAATAATTTATTCCATAGATAAGATGCTGATGGACAAGGCAAAAACAAATGTAAACAAGATTCAGCACTCAATCTGCACATTACACGGAAATCAAACATTTTGGGGTGTCAAATTCAAAGTAATTACTAATCCTACTAAAGGCCACGGTCCAATTGAAGGATTTGATCTTGGAGAGAGCACAAGATATCCAAGAACACTTATTCAGAGGATAGGAAGCATTAGTGGGTCTGATGTGAAAAATTAGAAGTATGATATGCAAGAAAATAAACACAAAGTGTCTACGAACCAAATCCTCTTATCTATTAGAAGAAAGATGGATTGAATCCAATGACACCAAAAGAGACTGACATTCAGAAAATTCCTTGTCAATCTCAAGAGGTGAAAAATCCAAGAAACAGTTGGGTGAGATAAAGAGTCAACTGAATGACAGGGGCATTGTCCAATGATAAAGTCTAGGAAAATCATAAGAAAGAGGAACATTACCCACCCAAAGATAATCCCAAAATTTAATAAATGAACCATTACCCAAACCCAATGAGACATGTATAGGCAGTCGAGAGTTTAGATGTATTATGTAATATGTAATACACAAGTCAGACTCAGAGGATCCTAGATATTATGTTTCTAGAGCCACTCCCAATACTACAATATAATGACACTAAAGCAAAACATAAAAATGCTAATGGCAATTAGCCAGGATTAAGATGCGATACTGCACGTCTCTAACTACTCCAGATACCAATAGATAACATTTAATATGGAAAAAAGTGGGAGCAAAGTGATAACTGTAGATCCACAAAGTAATATAGCGACATTATTATAAGAATATTATATTAATAAATTAACTAAAAAACATTCAACAAGTATTTCTAAAAATGTATAATATTTCTGTTAATAAAATATATTTTTAACAATAATCATTTATCAATATCATGAGAATAGACATGTCAATATATTATTATTTGAATATTAATATTATTTTTAATCTTACTTTAAATATTTATAACAATAATAAATATTAATATCGTAAGCTAAATTAATATTTTAATTTTTTAAACTTTATTTTAATACTCTCACTTTTAAATATTTTAAATAAGTTTTTTTACCATAAAAAAATTTCACTCCAATAAAAATTTTCCTGTTTTGATTTTTTTATAGGCTAAGGTTGTATTGGAAGATGGCTTATTCTTATAGATTCTTGTGAGAGCCACAGCACCAACAACATAGGTTTGATTTAATTTGAGCTTGAAAAGCTCAAATTCAAAGAGATAAATTATTTTTAATTCATAAAAAAAATATTATTTTTCTTCTTTTACAATAATTTATCCTAACAACACACTGTAATCACACACAATTAAGCTTAAACTAAGTTTTTGCTGGCAAACTTTATTTCACAAAAGCATAGCAAATTCAAACCAAATAAACAAGTTTTTGTGATCTTCCATTGAACAACACCTCTTCAACCATTTTTGGACAAGGATATAACCAAGTTAGCATACTCCAATATCTCCTCCTCCATTAGTTGCACAAGCTTTTTCTTAAACCTTAGAAATAATTCATCTATAACATTTGCATCAAACTTTGCTAACAGGAGAGGCTCCATTGCAGCTCTTGTGTAGTTGGCTATGAATTCGGCTCTTGTATTTCCGTCAACAAATGAAGCATCACCACCTTTATTTACGCCCTCATCCCAAGGCAAAGTGATAATCTTCGGACTTTGAAGAGAAAATGACCCTTCTTCCTGAATCACAAGCCTAATTTCCTCTAATGTAGGTTGGTACGTTGGTATGTTAAAGGAGTCCATTTTTTCTTCTTCAATCAATCCCTGTGGTGTCACACAAAAATGTTAAATGGTACAAATTCATGCACCACAAAAACTACAAATTTATTATTTGTTTGTCTTTCTATAGATACACATTAAAATAGTGATTAATGAAATTTAAAAACAAAGTTGTTTACCTCCAAGAGCATGACATTGAGTGTTAGGGCTACTTCTTCCCAAATGTTTCTTCTAGGAGTTTCATCTCTACCTAGAAGCACCAAGACCATTGCCCCTCCAGGCACAAGTTCTTCCCAACGTGATTTCAGAAATACTTTAAAGCCTTCTCGAAATTGGTTAAGGTAAGCTTTGTATACAGCTGAAGGGCTTGTGTTAACTATGTAACAGTTTCCCTTATTAAGTGATCCTGTCTCCCCAGTCAACCCCAACAATGGATCCTATAACAAAAACAAGAGAAAAAAGTATGAGTTAAAATATATAATATAATGGAGAAAGAGGGAAAAGTAATGACTCATAAAAAAGACATCATGGAAAGTAATAAAATGATAACAACTCAACTTTTTTCTATTGTAATGGTTAAAAACAGAAAAAAACTAAAACACCTCAATAGTTTATTTTACCTGGGAGAGCCAGTGTAGACTGTTGAAGGAATGAAAAAAGTGAATGAAATTATTGGGAAAGAGCCTCCCATAGAAGGATCCAGGGGTGGCATTAATAAAGCATGGACCAAACTTGTGCCCCTTAACTTCTTGTAATCTTTTACTGAAATCAGGGAGAGAGTTGAAGATAGTGTTGAAATCATTTCCAAATAAATCATTGAGATAAAATTGGAATGTGGGTGGTTCACAATTCAAGTGCTTGCTCAAGGTATCAACAATGTCAATAATATTTGATGTGGCCAGAAGTGCATTTGGTCCAACAGAACAACCTAAATCTGCCACTTTGATACAATCTGGAAAAGAATCTATATACAGCGTCCTTATTGTTTCTTCAAGTACAGGCTTGGCTTCAAGTATTACTTTTCTCTGCAATAAAATCAATGTTAGACTAAATATGATTTTAGTTAAATGAAGAGAAAGATTACAAGAAGTACTTGTAAAGAGGAGTTATTTGCATAACTCCTTTCTCCCTTGCCGCCATTCATGTGAAGGAATAGCTCTTCTCCCATTGATGAAGCACCAAATGAAAAAATGATAAATTATCTATCAAGAACAATGTCACACTGAAAACACGAGACTATCATCACCTTTTATAAGATGTACCCAACAAACCAAAACACAAGCAATAAATACTACTTATCCTGCATGTTATACATGTGGCTGATGAGGATTAATTTTTTACCTCTGATATTTAAAAATAATATATACAAAAATGGTATTTATAAAAAAACGAAAATATAGAGTTTAAAAATTGTTTTAATCTTCTTATTTCATATCTGCGTAATTTTATTTTTCTCACAAAATGTTAAAATCATATTCAAGTTTTCTAACGATCTCATTAATTAAAAATACTTTGTCAACTTTGAGTATGGAAATGAATATGTCGTCTTTCATTTTTCGTTTTCTTACGATTACTGTTACTGATTTCTTAGTTTTGTCATTTGTTTTGGTTTCCATTGTATTTAGTTTTCTTACGATTAAAAGAGAAGAAATCATATATCCTGTTTTTTGGTTTCCATTGTTTATGTTATTAGTGTTAGATCCAATTAATCCAAACTGGAAGCATTTGAATATTAATTTTTCTTTTCATTCTTCATTTGTTTGGTGTTAGCTTAATTCCATTAATTACCAATGCACACCACCGACACCAAGCCTATAAAATTCAAATCAGATCCAACTTCTTTCTCACACGTTCAGATTCAAACAAAACATATAGAATACCTTCAAATTTAAAAAGCTTAGAACGTGGGAAGGATAAAAGAAAAATAGCACAACCAACGCAGAATCCAAAACAAATGAAAATGGGTATAAGAGAAAATCATACTAAACTCAAAACTCCAAAAGATATTCACTTGCCATGACAAATACCGAAAAGAATCTTAAGAGAAAAACCATATTCAAGTGTCCCTAATATTCCTCACAAAGAAGAAATGTTATTTAAAGTGAAATTGACAAAAACCTAGCTGTCAAAAATACAAAGCAAACGATTAGAGATCAAATATTTTATGTTTATATATGATATACAGTTAAATTTTTTTAGGCTTAATTATGCTTTTAGTTCTTATAAATATTAATCATTTTGTAATAAGTTTTTATAAAATTTTTGTTAGGATTTAGTTCATGTAAAGTTAAAAAATTAAAATTTAGTCTCTCTCTATTAAGTGCTCAGTTATATCTAGCTCAGCATTTCATGTGGCTATCTCGAAGTCCAATTACTATCTATGTAGCATCCACATAATTTATTTTTTATTTTTATTTAAAATTAATATTTACAAATAAGTTCATTAACATGTTTTATATAATTACAAATGAGTCTTTCTTCTTTCTCAACCCCTTGACCTCTGGCATCATGGCATGCACCTTGTGTATGTTTCTATTTAGACTCAAGACTTCTCTTTAGACTAAAGAAATTGGGTTTGTTATGAGCTCAGTGACATTGATTGAAAAACAATTTGTGTAGTGAAGTTTCTCATAAAAAGTCGTTGTAAATATTTTGTCTTATTTATGACATTTATTGAAATTCTTTTAAAGTCGGAGTGTTTGAGACAAAAAACTATTTAAAGAACTCATAAAACTTCCAAAACTCTTTTAAACTGGAGTTAGGTTTTTCGTTTCCTGAGGTTGATTGGATAGTTATGACTATGGTTGTGAACAGAAGTCATGTTGTATATGGATAATTCTGTTAATTTATAGCACCCAACATTGAAATTGACAGGTCTTTATTTATTTTATGAAATATCTAAATCCTTGTGTACTTTAGAATTTCACATTACTAGAATCTTTACACTACAAGAAAAATAGTTAGTTGTGACTGATTTTTTAATCACTAATAAAAAAAATGTAATTAGAGATTTATTTATAAATATTAATTTTAAATTTACGTGGCATGACATGTAGGTAGTAACTAGACCTCGAGATAGGCAGATGGAGTTCTAAATTGACTTTTCGTTAACCAGTTCAGCACTTAATAGAAAGAAGATTAACAACAGGACTAAATCTTAATTTTCTAACTCTATAGAAACTAAATCTTAATAGAAAAATTTTATAGGGACTTATCACAAAATAACTATCATTTATAAAGACAAAGAAAAAAAATTAAGTCATTTTTTTATTGCCCAGCAAGCTTAATTTATATTAAAAATAAGAGATCTAGAAATATTTATTAATTAATTTAGAGACTGAATTAGTGACCAAATTAGTGATAGATTTTAGTGATCAAATTAGTTAGGAAGTTTAGAGACTAATTTTGTGATAAAATCAATGATTGACGTTAGAGACAAATTTAGTGACGGAGTTTAGAGATGAATCTAATGACTAATGTTAGAGACCAATTTAGTTATTGAAAGTAGAGAACGATTTAGTGACGAACTTTAGAAATTGAATTAGTGACAGATTTTAGAGATTGATTTAGCAACTGATTTCAAAATTGATGTAGAGACCAATTTTGAAGTGATAGATTTTAGAGATTGATTTAGCAACTAATTTCAAAATTGATGTAGAAATTGATTTTTAGTGCCAAAATCGGTCACTAATAATATAATATTAATTTTAAAACATATGAACTGATTAATCATAATGGAACCTGATAAGCACACATATATATCATCAATAATAATCATTGTTTTTAGATATAATAGACATATTTTAGCATACATAATAAATCTCTAAAACACAATACAAATTGTTAAAGTCTCCCATTGCATACACTACATGAGTCTCTAACTCAATACATAATATAAAAAGATATGTCTAGTAATATAAGGTAACACATATTAAATATTTCATTCTGACTCTGATTCTAACTCTCCATTTGTTGCTTCTTCACAAATAGGTTGCATTGATTGTAAACCAGAAAGTTGGAAGTCTATCTTTTCCATCATTTTTCGTAACAATTGGTTATTGAATTGAATATCTCTCTCAGTATTTGCCACCCTAGTACGAAGGTCATCCTTTTCAGTTTGTACTTCTTCTAATTTCTTTTTTAATTCTTGAAGTTCCTCTCTTCGCACCTACTCAGATGATGAAGAACTTGGAAAAAGTCTCTCAGCTACCACAGTGGACTCCAATGCAAGGCCATATACTCTTCGCTTTTTTTGTTCCAGCTACCTCATGCCACACATCTAACTCGCTCAGTGGAGGGATTCTTGAGAAGATGATATTTGTGTTGCTTCCTCCCATGTGCGTGTAAATTCTGCCTGTTAGAAATAATAATATAAGATAAAAGCCTTAAAATCATACATTAAAAATAATTTTGAATTACATAAAAGTGTTACTTACATCTATATGCACAGATTTCTTATATTCACCCGCATCTTATCCTTCTTATATTGGTGTGTGTGACGAAATAACTCTGATGAAGTAGGAGCATTTTTTATTTTAATTTTTTTTAACATTTCTTGTGTCAATAAAAAAGATAATATATGAATTTTTATTAAGTGAAATAATTCACAGATTAAAATTTTTTATTAAAAATTAAGATTGATGTTTTGATAAAATAAAATAGAAAAATTAAGACTCTTTAAGAAAAAGAAATAAAATCAGTGTGATTTTATTAATTAACAAAAAATATTTTGTATAACTATTTTAAATAATATAAATTATGAAGCATAAAATAAAAATTATATTTGTTCGTAAATAAAATTTAATAATAAATAATATTAAATAAATAATGAAATAAAAAATTTAATTCATCAATTTCTTATACAATTAGCTACTAATTTATTCACTACGATAATTAATAATTTTATTTTTATTTTTTATTTTAATAAATCATCTGTCAGTCTCTAAATCTGTTACTACTGTTTTTTTTTTATTTTACTATTTGAAAAATCAGTTTATAAATTAATTACTAATGGTGACCAAATATTTTAATTTGTAATTTTCTAAAAAAATTGGTCACTAATTTAGTCACTAAATTAATTAATAAATATTTTTAACATTTATCTTAAATTAATATCTCAATTGGTCACTAACAGAGATAAATAAATTGGTCGCTAAATTTTAAAGAAAATTGATCTCTGTTTTAATCACTAAAAGATAAAACATAATTATCATTATTAATAATGTATTCAGTCTCTAAATTAGTCACTGACCAAAAATTTTTTGTCACTAAAAATAGTCATTAAATAATGATTTTGTTGTAGTGTTTAGCAACAAAATTGCCATTGGAGTGTCCATTCTCCAACTTTTGGCCCTTGCCATCATCACTATCCCTGCCACTATCATTGTAATGCTCCGAATTTCAGTAATATTAATTATTGTTATTTATATAAATCTAAATGCATATATATGTGCGTGTCGACTTACTTGATAATGATGCTTATATGTATTAAGTATATGGATGTGTGTATTATGTGTATGCATGACTGGATATGGCTAAAATGGGCTAAGTGTCTAAGTGCAAGGAGTAATTCTGGGCTATTTTCGCTGCAGTGAGAGGACCCTGATAGGAAGGACTAGAATTGTCGCCTTCTTACTGTAGCGAGAGACGTCTCACTATAGCGAGAGACTATAGCGACAAAACAACAGTTTGGGGTGTATTTCTGGGTGCAGTCTCGCTGTAGCGAGAGGGTCTCACTGTAGCGAGAGGGTTTCACTGTAGCAAGATTCTGCAGAAACCAGAGTGCAGTTTTCTCTGGTTTTTTGCTGTAGCGAGAGGGCGTGTCTTCTCGTTGCAGCGAGAATATCTCGCTGTAGCGAGAGTGTCGCGACCAGAAAAGGATTTAAAGGGGGTTAGAATTCGGGGAGAGTTATTTCTCCCTCTCCCTTCAAAATTCCTCTGATCCTCTCGTTCCCAAAGCCCTATTCCACCGATTAATTGCCTCCAAAGGCGTTCAGGAGCTTGATTGAAGGTTGAATCCGTGTGGGGAACGCTTGGAGGTAAGTTTTAATTGGTAGGGTTTCAGTTTTTCATCCCATTTCTCTGTTTTCGTGTTTCCCCTGGGTTCTCATGGAGTTTCTATGTGTTTAAGACGAAATCCGTGAGGGAGAGCACTTCTTGGTGGATTTA